CCCGGTTGCCTCACAAACAAATCTCAGGAAGGTGTCTCCTGCACTTAACACTCTGGCCGCTGCCGTTTGGCACAGCCGTGATGTTGGGCCCTCGCTCTGCACGTTGATGCCCTGTGATCTGTCTGCCCGGCATGTTTTATTGACTCACCACAGAAATGAACCGGGCGGGCCCAGAGCAGGCAGGGCTCCTCCGCCTTCCTACTGCTCTCTCCCCCTTCGCTCCCCTCTGCTCCCCCACTGGGAACTGGGCAGTGCTATGGGTTGAGTTATGTGCCCCTAAAAGACCAGTTAGGATTCTGATCCCTGAACCTCAGAATGTGATCTTATTTGGAGACAGTCTTTACAGAGGTGACAAAATGAAAATGAAGTCTACAGGGTGGTCCTCACCCAATACTATTTGCATTCTTATAAAAAGGGGAAATGTGGACGGAGACAGACGTACACAGAGGGGGCTGATGGGAAAGCACAGGGATGATGGCAGCCATGTGACTGCAGTCCCATCTGCAAGCCGAGGGTGCATGAAGAGGCAAGGCAGGACGCCCCAAAGCTCTCAGGGAGCGTCTGGCGCTGCCGGCACCCTGGTTTGGGAGTTCTGGTCTCTAGATATGAGGGTAAATTTCTGTGGGCTAAGTTCCCAGTTTGGGGCACTTATTAAAGCAGCCCTGGGAAACAAACACGGGGGAGTTAATGCATCAGGCGTGGAGAATGGCTTTCAAATACTACCTCGAATAGGGATAGTATCTGTCTAGCTTATCTGTCTAGTTTATGAGCCAGTGGCTCGTCCATCCAAATTTTGAGAAACTGAGTATATTCTCAGGACTCAAAAGGTTTGCCTGCTGAGAATTTGTTTTACAAATAAAGAAGCCCTTTGTAGACCATGTTCACAGACTTACTTTACCTATTTGTTGTTGATTTGTTTGTTGTTGATTTGAAACAACAAACACGTGAATTTCAGAGCTATGCATTTTAAAACACGCATTGGGTTAGCTCCTCTCCTGGGCCTGAGCTGTGATCACGGGTCAGCCCTCCTGCCACGGGCAAGTGTTTGGAAGCCGTGGTGGGAATTCCAGCAGCCACATCCAGCGTTGAGAGCTTCCCTCTGCCCAGGGAAGGCTGCGTGGGGGAGACCGTGGCAGTGAATGATTCCATTGTCCACGGTGCTGATACCTGGTGTGGAAAGGATGATGGTATTGATTCTGGCTGCGGGCCGGAACTATTTTTAGCAGGTGTACTGGCCAGCCCGAGCCCTCAGGGCTGTCTCCATGTGGAGTGGGGGAGGTGCAGGGTCTCCCCTGGAGGCCTCCAGCGAGGAGAGAGCACCCACACGTTGGCTAGCACCTTCCTTGGCAGCTGGAACGCGTGTGAGCATTTCCCGTGGGGGCTGAGTCACCCCCTAACTGTGCTTGGAAGGGCGTTGAAGTGGGACGTGAACACGGGCTGATCCCACTGGGCAAGTGGTCCTGTCCTATCTGGTCCTGGGCCCTGACCGGGACCTTGGCTCTGAACTTGGCCAGCGAAGGGGCTGAAGGCAGTACCAGTATGTTGGAAGCCTGGCTTTGCCACCTCACTACGCATGGAGATGACGTCACAGCTCCTTCAGGGCGGCCTTGTGAAATAGACACATGCTACTTAGCCCACAGTAAGTGACCAACCAGTGTTCCCTTTATGCTGATGATCGGGGTCCCTTGCCTGGCATCGGCTCTGAGCGTAGGGCCAGCACTGTCCCCAGGGAGCTCAGTGTCCCTCCCCTTGAGGGAGCTGCCCTTTCCCAGTGGGTGTGGTCCCACAGGTGGCCTGCCCTCCTTCCCCGTGTCCTGGGCTGGAGAAGACCTGAGTCAGTACGTGAAAGTGGTAGAGGAGGCGGCCCTCCACAAAGAAACTGAAGTACCCAGGCCCATAACCACTTCCCGGAGCCAGCCATCCAGACACCACCAGGAGAACCCAGGGCTCCGGAACGGATCTCTCCGCGGGAAAAATAAACAACAGAACAAAATGGAAAATGAATGATGACTTGATGTGTTTGACTTTTGATGAATTTTCCAGCTTTGTCAGATAATTTGGGGAACAATTGCTCAGTGGTATATAAAAAATTTATGTGAATGAAAAAGTGAGGCAATTGTTAACTCCAGAAAAAAACAAAAAGTTGCACAAGAAAGGAAAGATAATCTTGGTGCCCTAAGTGGCTTCGTTGCAAGAACATTTAAGGAGTCATAATGATGTCAACATTAAACATTGATTTGGCCAAAGATTTGATGTGAGTAAATTGTGAAAATGGTGGGTAGAGTAAAAGAGGCGGGGAGGGGGGGGTGGTACATGACCTAAAAAAATACCCAGAACAATAGGATAATTATATTAGTTTAAATGAGGAGGTAATGATTAAACAACAAATAAGAGGCTTGAAAGCAGGTGGCTGCAGGGAGAGGGAATTAGAGGTAGGAAGGGGTGCAGTGATAGCCTCTTTATCACAAGCCCTGCAGCACTATTTGACCTTTTAAACAATATTATCAAATTAGATTTAAAAAGGAAGAAATAATAGTCTGAAAACGACAGTCCCTCCTCTCAGGAGAAATTCAGCACAAGCACATGCGGGCGTTGCTGCGGAGTTGGTTTTAGAAAGGCAAGCCCAGTGTGCGCCCCTGGGCAGGCACCCCGGGGGCCGAGAGCTCCCCGCTGCTGTGTCCGGCGCCCCCGTGCCCTGGTCACTGGGCAGGCTCAAGTCTGAGCACAGGCGGACGTGACTAAGGCGGAATCATCTCCTGCCTTTGGCAGGTTTATGAGTCGGTACAGGTGGATTTACTGCTGCACAGCCAGCCGCCAATTAACAAGTGAGGGGTTCCAACAGGTCGGACTGGCGACAGACAGCGGGGGAGATGGAGACGGTGCCTCTGGCCCCGATCTCTTCCTGCCGTCGTCTTCAGACTCGTTTTCTTTCCCAGTGGAACCAAATGCTGGCATTTAAGCAGCAAAGGAGCTTGGGAGCTTTCTCCCGCCATAAGCTGGGCCCCGCCCATCACTCACTGTCCTGCTCACACACCGCAACATGCCTCCTTCGGGTGTGCATGGGGTTCTCCTGCAGCCAGGCCCCCACAGGGGCCCTCAGGGCCCCGCTGCTCCGGGGGGAGTGTGGAGGGAAGGGTGGCCTGCTCTAGGCAGACTCATCCCTGGGCTCAACCACAGGACACATCCGCTTTTGTGTCCAACTCCCAGAAATTGGAAGCGAGCTGTTGTTACCCTCTGCCTTGGCGCACTGTGGCTGTCACAACAAATTCTACCACCCGGGAGGCTTCAACAACGGAAACTTTATTCGCTCACAGTCTGGAGGACAGAAATAAAAACTGATGTGTGGGCAGGGCCGTGCTCCTTCTGAAGGATCTGGGGGAACCTTCAGGCCTCACTCCCAATGTCTGGGCTGCCGGCACTCCTTGGCTCATGGCCGGCTCCAGCACCCCTGTCCCCGTCTCCACCCGGCCTTCTCCTTGGACGTCTCCTTACATCGTCCCACCTCTGTGCATGTCTGTGTCAAATCTCCCTTCTCACTGACGGGCACCAGTCGCACTGGATTTAGGGCCCACACTCAATCCCAACTCAACATCTGTGAAGACCCAAGGTCGCACCCAGGTGCCGGAGGTCAGGAGACGGGCAGGTATTTGGAGGGAAACAATTTAATACCCTCCTGGCTGGTCCCCCCGCGGGCCGCCAGGCGGTCCACACCCTGAAAGACCCCTTCCTTCAGCGAGCCGGCCTGGAAGCTGTGCTCCTGGCATTGTCTCTCCTCTCGCCACCAATCTCGTCTCTGCTTTCCCATCAGCACCACCCACCCTATCCTGCTTTCTCCACGGTCCCGGAGCACTTTTCCTCACGTGTGGTTCTTCTCACAGCTGTGGCTGTGAGACGGTTGCCATGTCAGAAACCCTCATCCCTGGCTTTGCTACACTCCTGCACCCCACCTGGCACACTCTCCCCCCTCAGTGTGGCCCCGCCTCCTGCCCGTGGCCTTCTCCTGGGGGCAGGCAGCTCTGTGTCCCCTGCAGTGCTCAGCCAGGGACGGGACAGACCACCGAGAACCTGATCTAAGTCAACCCAATGCTTCCGGAGCCATGGTTTGGGGTAGGGACTCCCACTGGGTCAGAAGGCGCTGCCACTCTCACAAGCATCTCGGAGTCTCTCTGATTGAGCTTTGCTTCCAGAGCCAGTGTAGGAACTACGCTGACAGCCCTGGTCCCTTGCTAAAACGGCTCGTGTGTGTGTGTGTGTGTGTGTGTGTGTGTGAACCCTCACCTGAGGATATTTTTTCCATTGAGTTTTAGAGTGGAAGGTGTGGGGGACAGGGGGGAGAGAGTGAAACATTGATGAGAGAGAGACACGTGGATTGGTTGCCTCCCACATGCACCCCGACTGGGCTGGGGATTGAACCTGCAACCCAGGTATGTGCCCTTGACCGGAATCAAAACCACAACCCTCTGGTGTGTGGGCCGATGCTCTAACCACTGAGAAATGCTGGCCAGGGCACATCTCACTTTTTTTAGTTGTGCTTTTTAACTCACAACAATATCATGAAGCGGCTCACCCACTTGCCTTGGCTCTGAACAGCTTTTGTGTACAGTGGGGCCTTGACTTACGAGTTTAATTTGTTCCGAGACCAAGTTCATTAAGGAGCTCGTTAACTCAAATTACTCTATCAATTCAATGCAAAAAATCGGTGGAGAGACAGCTGGTATCTCAAAAAACTCGTTAGTCGGGACACTCGTAAGTCACGGCCCCACTGTACTTCCAAAACCTATGGCACCTTCAAAGGGCAGAGGTCAAACCATTGTGTTAGAGACTGAGGAGGGGCCCCGGAGTGGGCCTTCCAACCAACTGACTGGTGCTGGTGGGTCACATGACCCTTTGAGACCTCAGCCTTCTCATCTGGGAAGTGGGGTGGTGGTGTCCTCACCGGGAGGCTGTGGGAAGGAAATATCACCAGTAGAGTACGTGCAGTACAGACACATAATAAGAGCTCAATAAATAATAACTATAATGATTCATTAAGTTTAGTTTTCCAATGAGCACCGGCCTCCCGCGGTGTCCCTGTGAGCTCTGCGGTGTGTGTTCTGGGTCAGTTCCTGAGCTGACAGGCACGCCTGCGATGACTCATGTTCTGCAGGGCTATTTCAGGAACCTGTGTAAGTGGAATCACACAGAATTTGTTTTATTTCACTCAGCATAATGTCCTCAAGGTTCCTTCGTGTTGTAGCCTGTGTCAGAATGTCCTTCCTCTTTATGGCTGAATAATACCCATTGTGTATAGATGCCGCCTTTGTTTACCCGCGCACCTGCTGGTGGCACTGGGGTGGCTTCCACCTCTGGCTGTTGTGAACAACGCTGCTATGGATGTGGGTGTGCGAATATCTGTTCCAGGCTCTGCTCTCCGTGGTTCTGAGCATGTCCGCAGAGGTGACAGTGCTGGATATGGCGATCCCGTGTTTAATTTCTTGGAGGAATGACGAATGTTGTATTTTAAATCACGGGTTTGAGAATACAGTGTCAAAAGTCAGCCCCATCGGGCAGAATGGAAAAAGCGCCCCATCTTGTCAACCCAGACAGACCGGCCTGGAATCCTTACTGTTTGCGATGACCACCGAGTTACCTCGCTTTTCAGAGCCTTGGTTTTCTTGCCTGTGAAATGGAAGTGATACCGTCCATCTCACATCTGCGGGGTTTTGAGACGATCTGACTTAACTCGGAAAGTGCCAAAGCTGGTGGCTTAGAGCCAGCAAAAGTCACCCTGCACCTGGTTTGTGCCCCGAGAGCCAGACACAGTTTTTGTGTTTTTCAAGGGCTGTGAAAGGACAAGGATGGCAGAGGCAGGAGTGGCTGCAGAGCCCCGTCCTTCGTGGGAAGATGCTTGCGAGGCCTCTTCACTTGTGCGGATGGGGGGCCCTGTGGTCAGAATACTTGGGTGCAATGAGCCTGGTAACCTGGGCACATCTGTGCCTCGGTCTCCCCATTTATTAAGTGGCATGATACCGCCTCCCCCCCACCCCCCCATGGCTCGTGGTCTAACCGCCCTGAGCTTCTGCTCATCACGGCCACACGGGCTGCTTCTAGCACATTCCACAGGGGCAGGGATTTTATATGCTTTGTTTGCTGCTGTTTCCTGTGTGCTTGGAACCGAACTTCGCAGAGAGCAGGCACTCAGTACATTTTTGCTGAGCAAATTCAGACCTCACTGGGTTAGGTGAGAACCACATGCGTTGATACAGGAAATTCACTGAGACGGTGCCGGGACAGGTGAGCGCCGGGTGCAGTCGCTGCCGAGGGGGCAGGAGGTCCACAGGGCAGGTTCTCGGGGGCATCTGCTCTGCACACCGCCTGTGCCCAACGTAACATGTGGATAAGATGGTCGGAGACACAGCAGAACAGGCCAGTGAGCCTCCCGGAGGCTGACACACGGGGTGTGGTGCCAGCAGGCTGTGGACCAGCTGGTGATCCAAGGCAAAGAGTCAGCTTCCTGGGGACCTGCCCAACTGGTCCCCACACCTTCCTGAGCATCCCCAGCAGGTGGCCACAGGCGGGGAAATGGCAGGGCCTGCTTGGTGCAGTGTGTTCTGGGAACAGAGCCACCCTCTGCAGAAGCCGTTTCCCCACCAAGACCACTCTGCCCTGTGGCCCTGATGGTAACGCCCAGGGAAGGAGCCCTCCCCTTTTCATAGGCAAAGGCGCTGAGGCGCCCACTCAGCTCACTGTTACCATGGAGCGTTGCCAGGCCCTGACCCCAGGCAGGTAACCGTGGGGGCTCCTGCTGTGCAGAGAATGGGGGCCTTGAAGATGCTGGAGGACCCAAGGATGGGGGGTTCTTCTCGAGCTGAGGCCCAAGGCGGGGGCAGGACTGGAGGGGGGGGGGTGGGAGACTGACTTTCTGTTGTGGAGATGGCTCTGCTTGGCTGCCTGCACTGTGGGTGCTCCTCCTCCTGCTCCTGCCCTGGCCCCTGCCCCTGCCCCGGGGGACAGAGGGCTTTAGATGTCAAACCCCAAAGCTTTAAAGAGCTTGTTTACTGAGCTCCATGGATCCCTAGGGCCTTACCTCTGGGCCATTCAGGGGCCGGCTCCACCTCGCAAATGTGCTGACCTGATTTTTGTCCCACGTGTTCCCAGCACAGAGCCAGCGGCTGGGCTGCAGGGTGGAGGGAAGGGGCGGGCGGAGGTGGGTGGAGGAGCAGGTATGCATGGCTTTGTTGACAGGAAAGTGAAATGATGTCATGGAGCAAGTGTCTCCCTCAACAAGAAACGCGAGTTGAGCGGCATGCCCGCAGCGCGAGGACTGCCAGCAGCCCGCTAAGAGGCTAACAGACCGGAGTCCAGGCAGCCGAGGAGGTGGGAGGAGGTGGGAGACACCGCCCCTCCAGCAGGCGAAGAAGCGGCAAGTGGACTCTGTGAGGGACAGAGGGACAAGCGGGGAGCCCTGTGGACGGGAACCCAGGCCCGCACACCTTCCGCGCCCACGCAGAGAAGAGGGCAGTTACCAGAAAAGGAGGAGCAGGGAACAGGCTCCTCCACCTGCCAAGCCACAGCCTACCGTGACCTCGGACTTTCCCCTCAGCCACCTGGCAAGACAAGAAAATGGGAATTAGGATTTTTAATTTTTTTTTTCAGATAAGGAATTCTAAACCTGCAGGAATGGGAATGAAAAGTCAGCCGCCCAGCCGGTGAGCAGCAGCGTAGAGAGGGCTGGGTGGGCTCCGCGTGCCAGGCCACACTGCCTTACCCTCAGGGGCATTTCTGGTTAAATAATGGCGGATGCAAGAGACCTTTGCAAACTGGCCACTTGGAAGGAAGGAAAGAAACCCCATGTTTAAAGAGCTTGCTTACTGAGCATGTGCGTACAGGTCCGGCATCCACTGGGTCCTGTGGGTGCACTGTCGCAGTCCATGTTCCTCCGGACCCTGAGCCGGAGCTCCCGTGGCCCAATTTAATATTTTTATTGATTTCAGAGAGAGGAAGGGAGAGGGAGAGAGAGAGAAAGAAGCATCAATAATGAGAGAGAACCATTCATCGGCTGCCTCCTGCACACCCTTCCTCTCCTCCCCACTGGAGATGGAGCCCACAACCCAGATATATGCCCCAACCGGGAATTGAACCGTGACCTCCTGGTTCATAGGTCGATGCTCAAACACCGAGCAACGCTAGCCTGGCTTGTGGCCCAATTTAGACACAAGGAAGTAGAGGACATAGAAGAAGCTGGTCCGTGTGGCAGTGAGAGTCAGAGGGGACCCCATATCCGCTGCCTGAAGCCAAAGCTGCTTTCCATGCTGTCCAGAGAGGCTGAAATATGGGTGATTTCTAATTTGCTTTGGGTTCTGAGACCTGGCGCCTGCGGGCTGACAGGTGGGTGGCAGGTCGTGGAGATGAGCCCTCAGCCCTTCGCTGCTGCAAGTCATTCTTCTGCAGGGAAGGCTCAGAGTGGGGACTGACAGCCGGCATGGCCCACCCATTACTAACTGACCTGGCCGTGGCTGCGGGAGGAGCTGGTCAGTGACAGGAGCCCCAGGTCCCCCTCAGGCCACCTCAGAGGAACCCCAGCCAGTAGCCTTTGCAGTTTGGGGGTCCTGGGCTAACTTGGGAGTAAGGGGAAGGCCCAGGTATGGCAGGCATGCCACTTGGGTGCTCTCTCTGCTGGGGCCTAAGGGCAAAGGGAGGCTTTGTACGAGGAACAGGGTGACCCGGAGAGAAGAGGAAGGGACAACTGGGAGGGATTTTGGCGAAAGAGAAAGAGGAGCCCACCCTGGCCAAGGGCAATGACTGCGGTGTTTGGAAAGAATGCGATTGCACTGCCTTTGCGCTGTGTGCAGCCCCGGCGGCGAGCTGGGAGCAGTGATGAGGACGGGGTACCTGTATGGAGTGTGCAGTCAGCACCACGGGATTCTTCAACTCTGCGTCCTCCTATGGGGCCCCAGTGGGTGGCTGACTGTCAGATCCCAGGCTTGTTTCTTACGTTGGCACGAGTCTGCCCCTCCTCTTCTCTCCCTGCTGCTGTCTAGGTCGGCCCATCCACCTTTCATCGGCCCTTGCTTTGGCTCAACTGGTCTCCTCAGCCCTTCACCTGGGCCTCATCCCAGCTCTGACCTTGGGCAAGTTACTTAGACTCCAGCTGATGTGTCAGTTTACTCGTTGGGTGGGGATGAGGCTCGGGTGAGTCAGCACGTGCTGAGGGCTTTGATCAGAGCCCCGCACACAGTAAACACCAAACACACAGATTGGCCATTTTTATGGTTCCTGTTGTTCTTCCTGCCAGGAAAGCTCCTTAAAAACATACCTAATCACGTCACCTCCTGCTTTTAAATCCATAAAGGAGAATTATTATCCAAATGGTGTTGTGAACAGATTGGGTTAGATCTTCCCTACCAACTGAAACCAAAATAGTCTGGCTGTGAATGTAAGAGATAAACCTAAGAATCAAAATTAGTTTTTAAAAATGGAGAGAAAAGTATTTAATTGCTCTCAGTATTTAATTGTTGGCATAAAATTACTGGATGTAATTATAAACATAGGAGTATGTTTGTCCACATAAAATAAAAATCTCCTGGAGTAAAAATAATGCAAGGTAAAAATAAGTGGTAAACGTAAAAAAAAAAAATCAGCATAATTATGGGCAAGCAAAGGGATGAACCTCTTAATATATAAAAGAGCTCTTATAAATTAATGTGAAAAATACACTCCAGTATAAAAAACGCTCAGTTACAGGCCTAGGAGGTGACTACCCACCATAACTGCTTTTAGTTAAAGTTTAATTTCAGACCATCTTTTGTGGTTACTTTAGGTCTCTGAGTTTGCAAGACCGCCATGCAGGCCTCCCCTGAGCTTGTCAGGTTAGCACGTGGCCCCTTTCATCCACAAAGGCTACTGTCAGGAAGCAGAAATATGATCAAAGATTGTGAATGAGAAGGCTTAGGAAAACATCATCTAATCTAATAAAGATGGAATATGCTAATTGACCTTTACACCATCACAAAATATGGCGGCGCCCACAGCTAATAAAGAGGGAATAAGCTAATTAACTGCCATGCCCTCAAAGATAGTGGTGCCCACAGCCACAAGATGGCCGGCAGGGGAGAGCAGTTGTGGGTGATCAGGCCAGCAGGGGAGGGCAGTTGGGGGGACCAGGCCTGCAGGGGAGGGCAGTTAGGGGCAACCAGGCCAGCAGGGGAAGGCAGTCGGGGGAACCAAGTCAGCAGGGGAGGGCAGTTAGGGGTGACCGGGCCAGTAGGGGAGGGCAGTTGGGGGCAACCGGGCTGGCAGGGGAGCAGTTAGGCATCGATCAGGCTGGCAGGGGAGTGGTTAGGGGGTGATCAGGCTGGCAGGCAGAAGCGGTTAGGGGCAGGCAGGCGAGCGGTTGGGAGCCAGCAGTCCCAGATTGTGAGAGGGATGTCCGACTGCCGGTTTAAGCCTGATCCAGTGCATGAATTTCGTGCACCGGGCCTCTAGTTTACAATATAATACCAATGGCGGACACATAGATCGTGGCCAGAACATATATGGCAAGAGAATGACCCGCAACCTCTGCAGCTTACAGTGGCTGGGACTTGGTCAATGAGTGCCAGCTTTGCTAATTTTTATTCTCTCTGCTGAGGACTAATCAGAAGCAGTCAAATATGCTCCCCTAACCAATGACAGAGGACGGCCCACGTCCGTGAGCCTGCCCCAGCTTCCCGGGGAGGATGCCTCGCCAGGGCATGCCTGCAGCCTTCCTGGCTTTCCCCCACGAAACGTTCCCAGTCGCCGCCTGCCTGTGAGTCTGCACCAGCACAAGTGATGGGGGCGACGCCCCTTGTATAACATACTCCACGGACACAACCCTGGCTTGTTTTCGTTTGCGTGGTCCTTGTTCACTCCCACAGTGGGGGGACCAGTCGCTTCATCCGTGTCAGGCTCTGCACGGTCACTGCTGTCCTGCTTTGGAGCCAGAGACTTATCAAAGGCTCCTCCTGTGCCCACAAGGAACTGGAGACAATTTAGAAGATGTAAACATCCTTGTACCTGCCGTTTTCATCGGCGACCGCTCAGCCAAGACAAGCTGAGGAGCAGGGCAAGGACTTGCTGCGCCTGGGAGTAGAAGGAGCCAGCAGTTTGGCAGCGAGACACAGGGAAGCTTCCACAGGCCGGGCTCTGGATTCGGAGCTGGGTCCAGTCTCAGCCGTGCCCATCGGGCCTGGTACCAGCGCCCGGTCCCCCAGGACCCCTGTGGACTAGGAGGTGGCGCAGGCTGAGTGAGACCTGGAGGGCTGAGTCAGGCAGGCAGCTGTCACTCACTGTTCCTCTCGCCCATCACCCTCCCTGGCAAGGCCATGGCTCCAGGCGAGGGCTGAGCCTGGGAAAGGCATTTCGAAAGAAAGTGGCTCCTGAGTGAAGTGGGCGCTTTGGGGAGTGAAGATCAATAGTGATTGTCTGCCCACATGGGGAAGGGAAGGAAGCTGCCAGGTCTTGCCGCAGGGAAGAGATAGGGGGGAAGTGGGAAAGGTCTGGAAGGCTCAAGACCCCCAACCCCCAGCCTCACCTCTGGCTGCATGTTAGCATGTGGCCCCTTTCGTCCACAAAGGCCACTGGGACCGCCAGGACTGGGAGCTCCTGCCGCTTTCGTGTCCTGAGGCTGCTCCCTGGTTCTGACACCTGTTGGTGGCCTGGCCACACACAGAGCTTCTCTGGACCCCTCTCCCTTCCCCTGTGAGAGGAGGGGCCACTGGGCCCTGCCCTGCCGCCCTCCAGTGAGCAGGTGGGTGAAGAGTGAGGGAAACTGTGAAAATGGCAAGCGGGTGTGAAATTCTTGTTGCCACCCAGGTGGGCCCCTTTGCCCTCAGGTGCGATGAGGTTGTCAGAG